TTAAATGGTTTATCAATTCTCAACTTTACGTGGAGGTTTTATTGCATTTGTCAATTAATTTTGTTTTTGCTCTTCAAGACTTCGCAGTGAGACTACAAATGAGATTTTCTTTGATTCCTTCAACTTTGAGCATGAAGGCAACTATAACTGCAGAGCTTATAACACTAAAGGGGACACTTTGACAAGACTAGCAACATTACAAGCATGTAAGTATTATAACATGGTTAATATGAACACATTATACGATTAAGCTTTATATCATTTTTTTTTTTTGTCTTTTCAGGGGCACCTGAACYACAATGTCCCAACAAAGGAATTGGTATGTTGATGTTAAATAGATCAAAGGCAATTTGTCAATCCTTAAAAACAGTGTGTCAAATGTAGGTAGATGCTTATATTTGTTTCATAATATTAATGATGGCTTCTTTCCATAACAGATGGCAGCTCATTGCAATTAACTGAATCAGGTAGGGATTTGATAGTAGCTCCTACAAGGCTCCTTGCCACCATCTTGAACAGTAGCCATGTCCTTGCAATAAACCAGGATGAGCAGTGTACTTGCCATGATAGACAGCTGTGAATGATTTTTTATGTGAAAGGTTTCACTGACTGGCAGGGACTGCAAAGCCCTCTAAGCTCCCCCTTCTCCACAGTCCCTTTCTGGTTTTCTTGCCTCAATGCAAAGGCGCAATTTCCTTTTATGGCACAGGGAGACAACTGAATGTCGTAAAACATTATACAATATATTGAATATCTTTCCATTTGATTGACAGCTACTGATAAGATAGCACTGGTGATTGGCAATCGAGACTATATTAACCTTCCACCAAATGAAAGTCCATTAGTCCATACATGTGGAGATGCACAACGAGTTGCTGCYATTCTACGAAAAAACCTCATGAACTTTAAAGTTTTCTCTTTGGTACGTGGCTTTAAACAGCTTTTTTACACCCTTTGTTACTTTGAAAYAWATTTTGAATTTATACTTCATACTTMCAGGTTAACTTAACCTACAATGAGATGAAGAAAGCTCTGTCAATATATTATGAACTACTAGACCGTGGTGTCTATGGTCTGTTATACTTTGCTGGACATGGATTTGAAGAYAGTGGCCAGAACTACATGATACCAATTGATGCCAWGACTGACTGGACACCAGACAAAGCYRTATGTGTCCAGAAAATCCTCCAGGAAATGCACAATAGAGGAACAGCATTAAATGTGTTTCTATTGGATATCTGCAGGAAACTGTAAGTAACTTGTGAACGTTATAGAAGATGTTCTAAAATATGTTAATACTCACCTGCATTTTATCATCATGATGGTTTTAATATGTTGTCTTTACAGGACAATGACTGGTAATGGTTATAAAAGAGAAATATACCCATACCCACCTGATGCACAGTCTATTTATGGGTTTGCAACGTAAGTCAAACCTTTGAGCTTTTTTCTAGGGGACTGTAGTGTAGTGTGAAATGTTGACTGCAAATGATGTTCAGCACAAATAGACAAGCTGGCATGCCTCAGTGCCAGCAAGCTCACAAACAAGCGATCATGTTCAAGAAAATAAACACTCCATGGAAGCAATTAGTGAAAAAGCATGCATTGCATACAAACAGAGGCGTGGCGAATGGTACCTAGAAATAACTGAGTCTCGGCAATTTTTGGTAGAATCTCGAGGGCTCGGACTTCCAAAAAAGGATCTTGGAATCTCGTGTTTCCAGCCAAGTTTTTTGGCCTTGGATCTCGGAATTTCTATAACAAGATCTCGGATTTTGATTTGTTGGCATGCTCTCGAGAGCGTTGATTTATAAGAATTTTTCAATGCATAATTGTTCTAAATATGTTTTTTCCGTGTTAACTCTATAAACAAGAACATAAAAACATTAATCTCGCTTCTCGGAATTTGGAAATTTTTAACATCTTGATCTTGGATTTTAAAACAGCGATCTTGGCGTCTCGACGGATCTCGGATTTTACCATTCGCCAACCCTAAACAGGCAAGCAAAGAAACATGCTAAATAAGGAAAAAAATTTTCCCATCTTTAGGTGCCCAGGAGCTGAAGCATATGAACGAAAAGCTGATGCCAATGGTTTGTACATGACTCACTTRTTGAAAAACATCACTAAAGAAGCAACTGTTGAGGACATGCTGAAAAAGGTGGCTAAAGGTATAAATGACTTGAAAAATTATCACAAAAATTCAATGAAAAGAACATGAAACAAGAAAGCAAACAGAAAATGACAGAATTAAAACATAATTCTTCTTTGAATCGGAAAAAACATGTTTCAATAAACATCATTGTTTTGTAGATGTTGAAGATGAGGTTGCAAATGATCCTGATGTCTGGCGAATGCGTCCTCAGTTCTACAGCAAAGCAGTGAAAAACTTTAGCTTACGTGACCCAACTGTAAGAGAAGACCAAGAATCCAAGATWAGAAACCAAAAATGGTTGGAAATCCACAGTGAGTATACAGTCAGCTGTTGTTTAGAAAGACAAGAAGTCATGAATAATTTAAATGAATACATTGTTGGACTGATGTTTTTGTTTGTTGTATTAATCTGCCTCATAAAGTTTGGATTTGGTTTAGTTACAAAATATAGAACAAATAATGTTGGACCAAATATTTCTTGTTTGACACTTTGACTTCTCCTTTTACAGAACTTCCTCAAAAACACATCTTTAATGTAGCACATGTTGGCATTACAGTAGAAATACGCTTTGAGCACACTAACTGGTTGTCAAATGTAATCTTGGTGTGTTTAAGAGTGTTGGATCTTGGCGAGGCTACAATGTGTGATGCAAGTCTTATACTAAGTGCTCTACCAAAGGTAAAAATGACCAGAAAATAGAAAATATCAATGTTCATTGATCAATAAATAGTTACTTATGGTGCTTGTTAACAATACCTTTTTAATGCATGAAAAGCTCAATGACAACAATATTATCATATGTAATAAGTACTGGTAATTGTGAGCCATTATCTTTGCTATTTTGAGATATTTCAAGCCATACATTTCTCATTGGTTTAAATCATTGCAGGGCTTACAAGAATGCCATTTTCATCCAAGTACAGCCAATAAGATGAGACATGTTGTCCCAGTAAGTGTCCTGGTACTGCAAGAGTATTAGTTGTGTTATGTACATGCATAAAAATACTTTTWATTTCTTGTAGCCTCAAGCTGAAAGTTCAACTGGTGTTGTTGCACGAGCAGCTTCCTGGGCGTCACAAGAGGAACARTCTCATGCTCCTGTCCCAGTTGAGAGAATAAGTGAAATTTACAATATACAAAGACTTCAGGTAAAATGAAGATGAAATGGATGAAGTTACTGACAGTCTAGAAAAACAGTATTGTACATTGTCAGCGCATTGTACAATTATAGTCAAACCTCTATCAACCAGCTTGTATTACCCTAAAAACAGATTCCCTGCAACACAAGAAGCAAATGAAACAATTGATTAAAGGTATATTTTTTTATTTTTCTTTAGAAAAACTTATCTCTAACGATTGAACTGAAGTACATTTTGCGTGGTAGCCAAGAGGAGCAAACTAAATACGAAATAAAGACATTTAATCTCAAAGAATTTGGTATTGTGAATGCTTTTGCTAAGGCAAATCCAACAGATGACTTCCAAGACTACAGCCTTTATTAATACTTTAGAAAATTTAGTCTAATTCCTGGTCCCATTCATTGGGTTTCCTGTGGTGTGGAAAGGACACAGGAAGCCCAATGATGCAGCGAAGGGATAGGCCAGTAACTGAACTAAAATTTATTGTACAAGGATAGGATAATAAATTAAAAAATAAGTAATGTGAACAAATCAGAGTTTCAAAATGTCAATATCAAAATTATTGCATGAAAACAATCAAACTAAAGATCGCAGAGCAATGAATTAAAGGAAAGTAATTACTCACATCACTTTTGAAACTCTGATTTCACTTTGATAGCCTCAGCAGTCTAAATACATTGTGTGACTGTCACAAACACTCATCAGATTGTGTTACAGTCACACAACAATAAAAAGACTGTGTCACACACACTGCCATACAAAATTTACATCTATTTTCCATAAAATGTCATAAATAATCGACAGTATGGCATTTCATTTTACTGCAAAGAAGCAATTGAAAAAATAAGTTAATTTATTAGACCCTGACTAATACTCTACCACTGATACTTTACATATTTACAAGTAGATATTATCAATGTTTATTAGTGGTTATCAATARTGTATCGTATAGGAGGACCAGGTAGATCATCTTGATCATACTGTGGAGCAGCAAATGACACAGTAAGATCAGCATACGTCTGGGAATGATCCAATCGCAGTAGTTTGGTCATCCTGTATGTAACAGATAATAATAGTACTTAATAAAATACACATATTTACATTGCATGTCTTGTATCTAAAGGTGGAGAAATACAGGGTACAAAGACCTTGTGCAAGTTCAAGTTTAAGTGTCAGTTTTTCTTGTTTTTTTTATAGACTGTTTTTTTTTTGTGTTTGTTGTGTTACACAACAAGCAGAAAAATGAGAAACACCAACCCCAAAGTTGAAATAGTAACATTTAATATAAGAAGACGTGTACATAGTACAACACTAAAACTGTGCAACATATAAATACCACTAAATACTGCTAAATTATGCTAATTCTATTGTTTTCTATTTAATTAACACTATTTTGTAGTAAATAGTGGAAAGTGTTGCACACATTAATTTAATGTTTGTACTCTATTGCTTTTGATTTTATAATATTGTGTAAAATATATTAAATAGTTTTGATCATTTGGTGTCTTGTTTACTTACGATTGGYTGAGTCTTTTGCTATGTCCAGGCATTACTGGTATATATATCATACGCACACCTTGCACAACCATGGATACATCCAAGCCATGATGTTCCTGATTGGTCAATAAATGACATCAATTTTAGCCAATAGCATGTTATATATATAGTATACTAAGTATATTGAACACAATAATAAAAACATGTTATAGCTGTTGTTGTCTGAATAAACAGGCAAATTCTGCAGTGAGTGAYGTCCTGATTTTAAAGATAGTACTATAAAGTACGGACTTCCATTTTGAGGATGAACCAATTCGCTTAGAAAACATTGTGYATTTAGAATATATTAAATACCTTAAACCAATCAATAAATTCTTTCAAWGTGAAGTTCTTGTGGCCATGAACTGTCCAGTGATCCCATATTGAATAGGAGAGACCTTCCCTGTTATTATTAAATAATAATGAATCATTTACACTAAGGATATAATTATCACATAATTGTGATTCAATACATAAAATGTATTTACTTCTGCAGTTACCATGGCAATTAGCATTTACATTTGAAAATATACTGTTACCATGGCAATAAGCATTTTACATTTGAAAATATACTGTGTGTCATACTTGATTATCGTGTGTTTAACAGCTCCAGGTTCAGCAAAGATGACATAAGGTAAGGCCAGGTTGATAAAACTATTAYGATACTCATTCAAARCACTTGCCATGGTGAACTTTACCAGTTCAATACATGCCTACAACAATATCTTTAATTATTAGCAGTACTGGTCTGATTATAAAAAAAAACTAAGTAAAGGCCTCATCTTTGATCATGCTGGAGGAAGACACTTACAGTAGGATAGGAAAAAAGGGGAGAAGAAATGGRAGGAGTTTAATATACTTTTTGTATCAAATGCTTACCAGTCCTGCTATAGCAGCTGTAGTRGTAGCAATGGCAGGGATAATCTTTCCAGCAATGCGTTTCACTTTTAATCGATCTACAGTCTCAATATTATACATCTGAGCACGAAGATTCTGTAAAATATAATTGTGTTATTGTTGTTTTAATGATTGGTTGGTTGGTGGATTGGTATAGAGATTTTATAAACAGTTAATTGGTTATTGATTTATTATATTTCACAATATGTTCAATGGATTGGAAAAGAAAATACACAGTCAACAATGATGTGAAAGAGATGAGAAAGGGAGCTCATCTTACAGATATGAATAAAATAACAAGAAACTCAATGTTAAATGGACTAAAAAGCAAGCAAAGGAATATGAACATCAACAAACACAACAAAAATGAGTAGGCTAGAGGACAAGGAAGGAGAATAATATATGATTTACCGCTGCGGCTGCAATGAAATCAATATGTCCATTGSTGTCATCATCTTTTTCAAATTTTAAAGCAATGATTTGATTTTCTAAACAGGAAAAAAAATTGAATTGAAATCTTCATCTCTTAGTGCTTAGCATTCCAATGTAAGGGACTGACTGAATGAATGGATGGATGGATGGATGGAGAGAGGAAGGGATGGGAGGATGGATTGCTAAATACATTTAGATCAGTAATTGTATGAATAACCTTATTGAGGGCTTGATGAACATGAGAACAAAGAAATGAAAGGAAATGAAAGAATGAATGCATGCATGCCAAGCAATTACCAAAATTAATATCGTGTGGTAATGCATCTAGTCTTGTGAGCTCTTCTCTGCAATACTTGAGATAGTCACAGGTTTTGATATCTTTTGATGGCTTTGTCTTTGTTTCATCTGTAAGTATCTCCTATTAGTAAGAAATGGGAATGAATAATGAAAAAAAACCCTGTTAGACAAAAAACAAATGGATGGGATCATAAAACAGTTGTGAACAAAATATGAGTAGTAGATATAATAAAAAATGAATGAATGAGCATTTGAACAAATAAATAAAAGAATAAATGATTTAGAAAGATTAATGAGCAAATTGATTGCTGGTTAAGTGAATCATTGAATGAAAAGGATAGAAGAATGAGATGAAATGCACACCTTGTCAGATGGAGAAAACTTCACAACTTCAATATTAGACAAAACTCTACATAGTTCTTCCATTGAAATATCCTATTGATAAAAATAAACTCAGTTGACTTGATGATTGGTTGCACTGTCATTACATGTACAATATACTCATTAGAAATTTGCTCTGCTTTGCTGTCTATAACTTGCCTTTTGTGTATAGTGAATCTTGTATATATCAGCATATAATCTGCTTGCACTAGTGATGAACATAGTGTGACTACAGAAATTGAGATGCAAAAATAAGGAATCAGTTTACTCTTCATTAAGGATTCAAGTAATTACGTTCACAATATGTTGGCAAATATAATCACAAGTCATTATTTCTATCAGGTAAGACTTAAGTGTATACTACAGCATTGCTTTGTACAAAAAGATACTTACAGATCATCATTAATGTCAAAAACCAAAGGAGTTGGTGGACGTTTAGGGCTTTTCCAAAATGGTGCTGAGAAATAAGATTATAATTATTCAACTAAACAAAACATAACAAAGCATAACAGCACAGCACAGCACAGCACAGCACAGCACAGCACAGCACAGTGTACTTACTTCCATCTTTTAGAGTGATATCAAGAGGGAATGCTCTTAATAGATTTTTGGCCTTAAAAAATAAGCGATAAGTATCAAAGTATGAAGTAGGTGTATTTTATGAAAATGTAAATAATTGATTTATACTTACTTTATGACTAAAATATTTTTCAAATTTATTCCTAGCTAAAGCTACGCAGTCACTCCATGACTTGGGTTGGTTTTTCATCATTTTTGTAACTACAACAACAGCTTCTAGATTTTGCATCATTTCAAGGACCTGAATATCAAACATTTCTCTTTCATTTTGTTATAATCAATATTTTTTTTATTAGAATCCTTTATTTTTTTACCTTCAAAGCGTTCTTAGGTGTTTTATATTGGACCCAAAACTGTTTAAAAATATCTGTTTTGTGGATAAAGGTGTTTTCAAACTAAAACAAAAACATAATTGTTCAKMRTTGTYATCATTTATCATTCATMACCATGGTAATACTGTTGTTTGTATACCTTATCTCTTGCCCATTGTATTGTATGCTCAATTATAGAAGGAAAGGACTTGAGTGTACAGTATGGGACTTCGTTGTCTTCTGGATCTCGCTAAAGAGAATGTCATTATTGATATCAGGACATGATTGAGACATATACACATGCAAACATACAGTCAGACAGACAAACAAATAAAGAAACCTCCAAAGTTATACCTGACTAGAATAATTCTCAGTAAGAAAGGGTACAATAACCTGAAACATAATAAATTTACACATCTCAYTACCTTCTTGCAAACAAAATTAATCGATAAATCACATTTAGTTTACAATACCTGTACGTGTCCTTTAGCTCCCATTGTACCAGTCTCTATCAGACCTCTTTGATTACAMACACAGCGGCTAAAACAACAAAGAAGCTAGTATGAGATCTACATTTAATTACCACTCAAAGTTATGTACAGCCCTATTAACAAGTGATATCACTGACAATAGCAGGGCTCAAAATAACGGCCACACATATTTAGGGCAAGATGTCCTTCCAAATTAAGTTTTGAAAGGACAAAAACTTTATTATACTATCATTTTCTTTTAATTTATAGGTTTTTGTATTCAGAAAGATCGGCAAGCATTTTAATGGCTTGTAAAAGATTTATTTTGCAAATTGAGAATTGATTGTTTTGTATTTTGTCTAAAAATGTGTCACGTCAATTTGTCCTTTCAAAACACAAATTGGCCGGTCAACTAGCGAATTTGGAAGGACATTGTCCTTTGACCAGCCGTTATTTCGAGCCCTGAGATTGCAATACTTGGATAGCTTTGGCTACCTGTGAATGCTATGCAAGAAGACTATTCACAAACCTGTCTATATATCTCCTTGCCTCCACATTATCCAGAGCATTAACAACTATGTCTTGAGACTTAAAGAAACCATCATGAAAWATTGTCTTCTGTGTCTGAGGGCAAACTGGAAGAAAACACAGTTAACGAAATATATCAACATCTCAATCATGGTAATCAAAGGATAAAAAATATAATCTAATAATTATGTTATTTCAAAAGTTTCAATAGTAAATTAAGCTTTGAGTTTTGGCTTTGTGGAGCCTTAATTTAATTGCATACAATAATAATTATATTGTTTATTCTCAGATGAAAAATTGTACTTTTTAATTGATGTTTACATAAACTGTTACATGAGCTTTATCAATTCCTATAATGAAAATTAATATTCACTAATATTATCCGGAATCATTACCTCTCTCCACCAAGGGATGTATATGAATTTCTGAAAGTACATTAAATCCATGTCAAATAAATTCATTGTACACTGAGCACAATAACTGACAATAGAAATGTGTTTTACTGTCCATTTGAATGTCAGCCAATCTGTTGTCTGTCTGCCTATCTGTGTGCCTGTCTGTCTGTCTGTCTGTGTGCCTGTCTGTCAGACTCACCAGGGTTGATATGCTGTACTGACTGGGCTGCTGTGATAGACTTTGGTTTCTGTCAAAAAAGCAATATTGATTGACACAAATTTTGCAATAAAATTTATTACGTCAAGAAGAATCGATGTTTCGGTGCCAAGAGTAATAAAGAAATTTGAATATTGCGGCTCTAGGGAGTACATTGTGAAGAGAATCTCAGTTTAAAAAAATTTTAATGCACCATTGAGAGAAGAAACCAAGAAGTTAAACCATAGCAAGGGCAGTATTCACTGGTGAGTGTGGGTATATTTATGACATGGGACTGTACGTGTGGCTATAGCTATTGGTTTTCTGCTTGTTTTTCTTGCTGTGAGATTGCTGATTCAAGGTTTCTACATTTCTGTACATTACTGATGAATCAATGATAATTAAGGTACAATTTATACTTGTAGTGTTCTTACTTGAATGTGTTGCTGACGAAAGAGGAACTGTCGGTTCAAGTTGGATTTTTCAATCAAATCATCATCGGTGATTGTGAGCTATAATGAAATGTTAAGTTTTTTTTCATTCAAGGAAAAATTTAAAATGTACCACCAGTGGTACTAACCGTAGCATTTTCTCCTGTGGACACACCTAATAATGCAAAATTCTTCAAAAGTTCGCACCCAATTGCACCACACCCTACCTGTCAATCATAAAATAAATATGATTTACATTCTYAAAGTTCTAACCAATCCTTATTATACTGATTCTACAGTTAAACCAGTAATTATAATAAATTAAACATGTAAATGGGAACTGGAAAATGGAAATTTCAACTAGAAGTTTTGGGGATTAGAGGTAGAAGTAGAGATARAGCACACCAAATTTGAACATACAGCTGGGTCAGGAAGAGTGTATCTGGAGTTAAATTTAGCTACAAACCAAACAAATAGAAAAAAACATTTTATCGTCAATCTTACCATGAATAAATTGAAGTCATTCAACCTCTTTAGAGCTGTACTACCTATGCAAATCCTTAAAGTATCATATCGACTTGACCTAGAATCATTTTAGCATGCAATTAATAAATATTTTGGCACACGTAATGTTTTGCAAATAACCATAGGCCTTAGCRCACTAGATTTTTTTWAACTAAASAAAAGTCATGCTATGGGAGGAATGCAGTGTTCTGATCATTTACTTTGATTACCTTGGCAAAAAGTTTGAAATATCTTCATCTTCACATTTTTTYAAAGTCTCAATGACATCTAAGTATAACTGGAAAAGATTTGGACATAAAACATTAGGCTTAAACAGAAAGAAATAGCCACTGCACGTGAGCAAATAAAAGCAATTGATTCAAATGTATTTTTATATCAAGTAACTTGAGTACCTTACCCATTGTTTTAATGGATTAAACTTTGCCGTAAGAGCCTTCAGTACTTCCTGGGCAGCAATACCACCCATGGCWGCAGCAAGTGGAGCAAAGCAGCCTTGACTTACATAAGACAGAGATCTAATAACATTGCTGTCTAGTTCCTAAAAACAGTAARAAATTATCATGACTAGCTGTCTGAGTGACTGAGTGAAGATTGTCATATATACAACAGGAAGCCCAATCTCTACAAAGATGTTTGTTTACTTACACCATGGCAACTATCTGATGCTATTTTGARGACTTCTAGTGCATCTTTACTATTCCTGTCCAAATTTAATTACATGCGGAATAGAATTAGGCAAATGAATGGAAGAAAAAAGAGAAAAAAAGAGAAAAGAAGACTTCTACGGAACTTAGGTCTCAAAGAATTTGAACAGTAATTAAAASTACAATCAATTTACAGAATATACGAGTTCCTTAAAATTAAGCTATAGAAACAGATATTTAAAAGGATTGAAACAATGGGAATTAGGAAATTGAGAAATGTGAAAATTCAATGGAAAATCAGGAAAAATGAGAATGGTCAAATATGWCACAATTCTTTCAGATATTACAAACAACAACAAGCARACAAACAAAAAWAATAATYAAATAAATGAACTGAGARWAAAGTAACAACCTTACTTGRGGAAGAYGTCCATTCTTCTCCCAGAATAGATGAACAGCAYGCATCCCAACATGAAGTTGAACAGGAATCTTCAAATACACCAAGGAAGAATAATCATTGCTGTGCTTATAGAATCATTAATATAGAGAAGTCAACAAAACTTACATCAGTTTTCATGAAGTCAGCTATAACAATATCTGGTGTCTCTAGTTGATCTTTTAAACTTTTCTGTAAATAGAGCATTTGAACATTTTTAAAAGGCATTTCTAAGTGCACTTGAAATAGGGTAACTGGGAATACCTGCTGTAGGCCAGACGTACCACACTTACAACTTGAGCAACATAAACATTCATTTCAAGCAGCAACAAATACAAAACGTGTCTCACTTACAAAAGAGAGATTTGATGAGGCAGGCTTTGCTATGGATGCGATTCCCCCGTACTTGTACGGCGTAAACTCAATATCACAAGTRTCACATATAGCAAAGGAATATGGTGACAAAACTATCGAAAATAAAGACATTTGAATACATTAAAGTGATTTAATATCAAAGAACCTTGAAGTCAACAAAACGACGACAACGGAAATGGTACATACCTTTTTTTACAACTTGTTCAGATCCATTTAATAATTCCATACCGACTAATTCTTTGAATATAATTTTATCTCCCTTCTCTAGGCCATGATGCATATTATCCAAGGTAGTCACAACACCAGGATTAGACTTAAATCACAAAAACAAAGTCTGTTTTATTATACAAAGCATAGCTGGGTATCTTTGACAGTATTTGTTTAAGTCAATGTGGTAACTATAATTGTAATTTTTTTTAAAGAAAACATGACGACATTTGCAGCTGATGTTAATCAAGTATATTATGTCACTTATATTAATGTTCTTTAAGGGGATTGCTGCTTTTGCAGTGAATCAATGTATGAAATCATTTGTACCTTGGTTATGCTGCCTATAAAAAATGATTTTGGTTCTTCTGTCCATATGTCAAGAACTTCAAACTCTGGTCCAAAATCGCAAAATAAGTACGCAAAGACTCCAAAGACATTGGTGCTGATAAACTTTGGATAAAATGCAAGAGAATGTTATCACTAATTGCATCATGAATGYATTTTATAAAAAGTAAATGAGAGACTGAAGAATCTATTACTRAATAAAAGACAATGAATGGATGCAACACATTTCAATAAATCGTTAGCATGGAATACCTGGATTGGTGGAGTCTGAGATCTGCAGAATTCATCAACCTTTATTTGTAAGCTCAGTACAGAATCTGTTAGAATCACACACTGAAAAAGATACCCCATCARTGGACTATAGAATGCTACAGGATATGTCATAGGGTAAACATGTTGTCTAGTTTTAAGTGCACGTTGTTTATTATGCAATGTTAAATGTACTGATGAGACACAGTAAGCCTTTAAACAGCTATGTCTCAACAAACATATTTTGCTTTGTAAGACAGAATTATATGGTGTAACTTACTTAGTAGATTATTATTATTAKTAGTATATGAACTAATGTTCTACTAGCTTTACCTGGTACTCTTTCAAGAAGTCTAATTTATTGTCATCAATAGCTTTACTTTCTGTGTTTATCGAGACATAGGGATTTAGCTCAGCAAGGCTTCTAGAACAAGCTTCAGCTCTAAAATAAAAAACATGCATCATATTATAAATGAGGGAAAGCTGGACTGATGGATCTACAGAATGATGAATGATAGAATGATGACTGATAGAATGATGGATTGATGGATTAATGAACAGATGGAATGATGGATGATGGAAAGGTGGAATGGTGGATTGAAGGATTAAGGGATCTATGAAATGATGGACTGATTGATTGATGGACTAATGGGCTGATGAACTGATGGATCRACAGAATGGTGGACTGAAGGATTGCTGGAATGATGGAATGCTGAATTGATGGAATGCTGACCTGATGGAATGATTGAATGCTGGACTGATGGAATGCTAATCTGATGGAATGATGGACTGATGGATTAATGGAATCATGAAGTGATGGAATGATGGACTAGTGGATTGATGGAATGCTGTATTGATGGATTAATGGATTGGTGGAATGATGGAATGATGGATTGATGGACTGTTGGATTGATGTAATGATGGATGTCAAAGAGATCAATAGATTAAAATAAAAGAAATTAAAAAATGGGACACATAAATGAATATAGAAATAATGTATTAAACAACAAACACATTGTATATTACATAAAAATAAATAAATGAATGTATAAAATATCTGATATATTCAATATACCTATTCCTTTTCTTAACTACATCATCCTCACAAAGAAAAAAATTTGATCCAAGATCGAGATAGGTAGCAGTCCTTGTATCATGGAGAGTTATTGCCTGTTTTAGAAAAAACTAATTTACAAAAAATATTTTTTTATTTACAAAAATAATATGGCTCAAATACAAACCTTCACACCTGCTAGGACCACATTTTTTGCTAAAACAATAAATTAAGCTTATTTTAGATGGGTAAGTCAAGCAATAATACTGCAAGTTAACAGACAATAATGGGAAGTTGATATCTTCAATATTATAAGCTAACATTGTACCTATTTCAATGCCTATTCCACCAAGCCCATTAAGAAATACAGTTGATCTGTTAATCTTGTGCATGGCATGATCTCCAAGCATGTATCTCTGTCGACTAAAATTGATCAATGATGTCAAATGATATGATCAATAATGATTGATGATGATAATGATTTCATGTTGCTGAATGGTGAAAACAAGTATGAGGGAAAGAGAACACAAGAAATGCTTGTTCATATATTGAATTACAATGTAAACTTATCTTCACACAATATCTTTCTTAGCAAAATGTTAAGTACGATCTGTTTCAGTACCTGTATAGAGAGTCATCGATAGTCGCCTCTCCTCCGTCCATATTTTTGATCTCTCTAAAGCAGATTCAAATTGCAAGTTAAATCATTTAAAATAAATATCAAGAAATATTTTACCAGTCTTTACCATCAGAAATTATTTTGCCTGTAGGCTTGAAAAAAGACCAGAAATTAACACGATTTATCAAAACAGCTGATGTTCCTTAACCGGCACAAGCTATGCATAAATTATCATGTCATTTAGCATCAAATACAAGCTAAACTCACGATAATTGATCAATAACTATCTTACCTATTATAGATGGCTTGCAAAAGCGAAATTGCGGAAAGATGCCGAAGTTTTTGAACCAGCTGCCATGATGGATGGAACACACTAGTTTCCATGCCTATCCGCTTACTCGTCCAACATGGCTGACAAGATGAAGGATAACGTTGAAGGTATGCCGCTTTTACATGGCAAAAAACCTTGTAGAACGTGCACTGATTTTAAAACTTGGACGAAACTGCAATCTAGAAGCAAAAGCGYTGAGGTGAGTGTTGTTATGTGAAGTTATGGCTTATTGATCGCCATGTAAAGGTAGCTAGATCAGCTGTTGATTTGAATGTTGACGAAATTTGGGTCAGTAGAAGCTCAATAATTAATGCTTCGCTTATAATTTGTGGGGGTAAAAGGATGTAACATTGATTGTTTGAATGTAGCATTTTATCTGAAAATTTACAAGAGTTTATTAAGTGAAATAATGATGAGATGATGCAATTATAATGATGATTATGTCATCTTGGCTTACATTTTTAAATGTATTTAAAAGTATTTAAAATTATTCTATAAAAAATTATGTTTTTCAATGGTAATAATATTATCTGTAGATACCATTTAACTGTGCAAGTTATGATTTAACTGTAGCTTAGTAACTGTAATCTATGATTAAACTGACTGTTCATCACATTGCAGGCAAATCAGAAAACTGCAGAATCAGAAACCACAGACAATACAGCTGAMAATGTACGAAAAGACTGTCCATTAGACAGAGAAGAGGTTGGACAAGCTACATGGGGATTTCTACATACAATGGCTGCTAAATATCCRGAGTTTCCATCTAGCACACAACAAGATGATATGAAAAAGTTTGTGGAATTATTTGCTAAGTTTTATCCGTGTGGAGACTGCGCTTCACATTTAAGGGGGAGGTGAGGTCCATTTCTAACTTGTTGTTGTCTTTGAAGCTGTTTTTATGTTGGGGTCTTTGTGCTACCTGTGTATTTGGGAGGCACAGGGATCCCACTTCAAAAATAAACTTAGGAGACTGTGGTGTTTTGTAAAGTTCATTTTTTATGTACATGGTTTCTTTGCAGGTTAAAGGAAAGACCCCCAGATACAACAAATCAATATAATTTTTCACAATGGTTGTGCAAAATACATAATGACATTAACAAACATATTGGTAAAGAAGAATTCGATTGTTCAAAAGTTGATGAACGCTGGCTGCATGGATGGAAAGATGGTTCATGTGACTGACAGAGATATTTCCTTAGACAGAATGTGAATTGAATTTTGGAGAGTACAAAATCATATCTAAGAAAATAACAATAATTTCACCAGATTTCGTCAGGAATATTATTTCATAATCAATTGGAAAATGTATCTTTAAAAAACTACAATCCCTCTTCATATGCAATTGTATTGAATTTCTGATTGTACTGTAGACTACATCAGTGCAGTAAATAGGACTTTGGGCTCCCTGTGTTGTTGACTTTAACACCTGTTATCCACAAAATGGCCAAGGTTCACTTCCTTAAATTACATTATAAACTCCTTGAAATCTAATACATTAAAATTCTAGCTATTGTATTTATCTTATTATATTACGAGCGGTAACTAAGCATTTGTTGCGTGACATGCTTGACATACAGTACCGCGTGACACGTGATGGAAAACATGGCTTCCTTTCGTTTTAACTTTGGAAGTAACGAAATTAATGAAAATAGCTCGCAATTGGACTCACAAGAGGATGATTTGACACCAGTTGAGGCTAAAGAAGTTTCTGTATCACGCCATATTGTAAACCAAAGCGATAATGTGGATAAAATTGACATAAATGGGACAGCATTACTCTACGTGAATCTGCAACACGTTGAAGAATCACTGAAGAAATCCAGTACTATACTCGATNAAGTTGTTTCACGATGTCGACGATACAAGGATGGTTTCTGATGCTTCCAAACCTCTATGTCCTCCAGAATATCATATGTCAAAGCAACAGGCTGCTTACCGCTATGTCCTAACGGATTGACAGAGCCATACCGACGATAATGTTCTATGACGTTTGTTACGCACCGAAAAGTTACGCGAAGCCGTTCAGAAACTTCCGTTTTTGTGAGTCCGCCGTTAAATAATTGTATAATGTGTTGTCTTTCAGCAATCGATAAAGGTTTTCCTGGGGTGTACGGCCTCTGAAGACTATTCACCGCCGCCATTTTTTTTCGAAATATGCAACGTACTGTTTATTTTTGGAATAATCCAATCAGGAATCGAGGTTCAAATCGACGTCAGATTTGAAATTTACATTGTCGGTTTTGTTTTTGCACGTTTAAATATAAATTTGAAACCAAATTTGGAATAATAAATCGAGCCTTCCAACCTCGATAGGAACGCTTCAGTAGGTTTGGCTGTAAAAGTATTTAAAATTATTCTATAAAAAATTATGTTTTTCAATGGTAATAATATTATCTGTAGATACCATTTAGCTGTGCAAGTTATGATTTAACCGTAGCTAGTAACTGTAATCTATGATTAAACTGACTGTTCATCACATTGCAGGCAAATCAGAAAACTGCAGAATCAGAAACCACAGACAATACAGCTGAMAATGTACGAAAAGACTGTCCATTAGACAGAGAAGAGGTTGGACAAGCTACATGGGGATTTCTACATACAATGGCTGCTAAATATCCRGAGTTTCCATCTAGCACACAACAAGATGATATGAAAAAGTTTGTGGAATTATTTGCTAAGTTTTATCCGTGTGGAGACTGCGCTTCACATTTAAGGGGGAGGTGAGGTCCATTTCTAACTTGTTGTTGTCTTTGAAGCTGTTTTTATGTTGGGGTCTTTGTGCTACCTGTGTATTTGGGAGGCACAGGGATCCCACTTCAAAAATAAACTTAGGAGACTGTGGTGTTTTGTAAAGTTCATTTTTTATGTACATGGTTTCTTTGCAGGTTAAAGGAAAGACCCCCAGATACAACAAATCAATATAATTTTTCACAATGGTTGTGCAAAATACATAATGACATTAACAAACATATTGGTAAAGAAGAATTCGATTGTTCAAAAGTTGATGAACGCTGGCTGCATGGATGGAAAGATGGYTCATGTGACTGACAGAGATATTTCCTTAGACAGAATGTGAAYKGAATTTTGGAGARTACAAAATCATATCTAAGAAAATAACAATAATTTCACCAGATTTCGTCAGGAATATTATTTTATAAGCAATTGGAAAATGTATCTATAAAAAACTACAATCCCTCTTCATACGCAGAATTTCGTATTGAATTTCTGATTGTACTGTAGACTACATCAGTGCAGTAAATAGGACTTTGGGCTCCCTGTGTTGTTGACTTTAACACCTGTTTCAAGTCCAATATCCACAAAATGGCCAAGGTTCACTTCCTTAAATTACATTATAAACTCCTTGAAATCTAATACATTAAAATTCTAGCTATTGTATTTATCTTATTATATTTACGAGCGGTTGTTGCGTGACATGCTTGACATACAGTACCGCGTGACACGTGATGGAAAACATGGCTTCCTTTCGTTTTAACTTTGGAAGTAACGAAATTAATGAAAATAGCTCGCAATTGGACTCACAAGAGGATGATTTGACACCAGTGGAGGCTAAAGAAGTTTCTACATCACGACATATTGTATACCAAAGCGATAATGTGGATAAAATTRACATAAATGGGACAGCATTRCTCTACGTGAATCTGCARCACRTTGAAGAATCACTGAAGAAATCCAGTACTATACTCGATGCCTCGTCGTCTAACTCTGACCTTGTKCCAGCTGTGTATGAAGGAGGACTTAAAATATGGGAATGCACTGTAGATTTGATCGAATATTTAAACGAAATGAAKATYATTTTCMAAGATAAACGAGTTTTAGAGCTTGGATGTGGTGCAGGTTTGCCTGGAATTTATTCCCTGAAACATGGTGGGTCTGTTGATTTTCAAGATTATAACGATGAAGTTTTGGAACATTTTACAATTCCTAATKTATTCCTGAATATCCAGGAWGTTWATCCAAAGTCAACATACGATGAAACCAAAGACCTGGTTTTCAAAAGATGTCACTTCTATGCAGGGGATTGGAAATTATTAACAAGTTTTATCAACCCAGAAAACAACCCAGATGGATTCTATGATATAATATTAACATCAGAAACTATCTATAAAGTTGATAATTATCATAAACTCCTTGATTTCTTTGAAAAACATTTACGATACCCTGACGGCATTGTCTATGTTGCTGCAAAAACTCATTACTTTGGGGTGGGCGGTGGTACACRATCTTTTGAAGAATGTGTGAAGAAGAGGAAAGGCTTTAACATTTCTGTTTGTAGGAGATTTTCTGAAGGGTTACAAAGGGAAATATTGAAGATTGAATGGAACAAAAATAAAATTTGATTAATTTGTCTGTCTGGTTGGTGACGATTTATTAACTTACATATTGCAATAAGTAAAAGTGTCACCGGGTCTTCCGCTTCTAAAATACCAAATTCTATAACCCTGAGGTAAACAATAAAAAAAAAATGAAACTGAGAAGTTAGTGTCTATTGTATTGACCACGTGTAATGTTTACGTTGGGTTCCCTGTGTAAATATTCGCGCTATGCATGATGGTTACATTCCTCCCTCACTTCCCCTGGCAGGTCTTGTACGGTTGTTTTCATGTTTTCAAGGCCGACCGATTCACCATGGAAAACCTACAGTGTTTCAACTGTCATCACACAAACTTATCTCACGATAGTGTGTTTAATGTCAGTGAAGTTCGTAAAACTTTTGTGACTCCAAATGCCTCAGAAAGAGAGCTTGTTTCATCGGACTCACAACAAAATGGCGCTACTGACAGTGACAAGGAAAATTTATTTCATGTCGTGTGTGCCGATTGTATCTACGACAGACTACAAGTMTGCCAAGTTTGCTTTGTTAAAGCTCCACTGTGTATGTTTAAAGTTGGAGAATGGTTTAACGACAGAGAATGTCGAGTTTGTATCAATTGTTCGGCCGCTAAAGACTCCTTAAAACTCCTTCAAGAAGGTTGCGCAATGGAAAATTTAATTCACCAGTGTTTTCATTGCGGCCATTTCAGATATTTACAATCGTTTACGATATCTTCAAAGTGCAGTGTTGATAAAATACCACGGGAATGTTTGAGTTGTTTGTTGARATCCGATATCAAGCAATACAAAGACGACTTACACAAGAAGTATGAGAATAAACTAAGGGAAGARCCTGTACTAGGGAACGATAGGACAGCTGTTGCCAGCAGCCAGAGTAGGGTACAACCAGCTGCGGTATTGTCATACGCTTCTGTTGTCACTAAAGGATCTTCTGGAAATGATTCGGAACAATACAACACTAAAGACGCTGCCATATTCAATGGTGAAGGCGGTTGTGTGACAGAGAGAAACAAGATGTTGAAATTGACTACATTCAGTGCTGTGATCAACGGTAGGTTGCATCATCTATCCYGGCAATATGACCAATTCACCCACAAGGAATTAGATAGAACATCATTTTCTATTATGTGATATATTTTATTAAAAAAATACATTTCTAGGCTTATTTCCTTGACAAGCAATACAAATATTATTATCAATTGCATTTCCTGATGTCATTGTTGAAGTGTGTTTAGTGATCCAATAGGTTAAAACAACAGTTGTAAAGCCCTAATCAAAAGGATCTACTTGATTTCGTATAATAAAAACAATATATCATCAACTAATGTGTTTGGATTTTAGAGTCTATTTGTAAGACAGTGCTGAAAGCTCTCAAGTATTCATTCCACCAACTGGAAGAGAAGACAAAACTGGAACTACAGTTAATGCAACTYGACCCACAACTGTGTCAAGGAATTTTACGAGATAAACTTATCAGAGTTTCKCATCGKTTTTCAAAGCAAGGGACACAACAGACATTGTTTGACGATCCTGAGTCTCGTTGGGCYTACATGGGGACTTATACAGTAGCACATGCAAGTCTTGTCCTGGCAACGTTACAGTCTGGGATTTTCCCTCCTTTGGATGAATTAGTTAAGAAAATGAAAAGGGAAAGCAGGTATTGTATTTTAGTTTCATTATGGATATTTCTCTTTTATACCAGGATTTGTGTGGTATAATAAACAAGTTTATGTTATGAAATATTGTATAATTTTTATATGGTTTATATTGACAGGTCTCAAGTATGTTGCTTTGGTGCTGGTCCAGGTAGTGAAGTACTTGGATTGTCACCATGYCTTCCYTCTGATACCCAGTGGATATTACTTGATAAYTGTAATGGATGGGAACATCTTGCTAATGTACTACTTACAAAGACTTCTGGGATGGAATTCCAGTATGGCATGTGCRATGTGTCACAGAAACTACCCGTCAAGATGAATCTTCTTGATTTTCCATATTCAGTGTTTTCTAAGGTGTGGTATATTATTTTTTTATCACTTTATTAGGTGATGGTACACAGTTTAATAAGTGACTAATTGAACACTGAGTAGCAAGCCTGCAGGGTATTGTGGGTTTATTTTGTCATGAACTATTATTTAGGGGAGGTATTTTCACTTGAGCTCTTGAATATCACTCARTGTTATCAATGTTTTCAGGCCAAGTTGATGATGTTTGTGAAGTTTATCTCAGCTGTTCAAAACTTGGCAGGGGCCAGGAAATACTTGAGTACTATCTTGAAGACAGCAAGCCCTGGGACAATGTTTCTATTTATTGATAATGCCCACATCCAAACCAAACACTTCATTGAAGACTTGGTTTTTGGCAGTGGAAAGTATGTTGATAATGGAGACTTCAAAGAGAATGACTTTTTCACTTTGTACACAACATATGCTGAACTCAAGTCTGAAGATGAYKCTGAGAAGTCATCCTTGCTATGTGAATGGGTTGGGTATATTACTTAYTGGCTTGATCGCTGGCCCATGCTGGACCTAAGAGTCAATGTGCTTCTTGCCATTAAAAAGAACAAAACTGACATGAAGAAGTAGGGGCTGAACATGGCATGTTCTACAGRTGCTTGAGTATCCATACACAATGCCATTACCTCGTATRCTTTGTTTTGAAAGTATTCAGTGATTTGAATGTGTTGTTTTTCAAGACATTGCTACCTACAAGTAGCCTCCTGTACAGGGATCTATGTACTTTCTATAATTATCAAGTAGAACTGGGTGCACAGCTGCTGTAGTTTTGTATTTTAATGCAATAGATTTTCCTATAATAGTAATTTAAGAAGTGATTCGGCATTAGAGGATCCCAATAGTACTCATATAAATGAAAATATATTCGAATTTGCCTTCAATGATAGTCAACTCTATTATTAACTGCCTTTCTCTACTCCAACACTCCAAACAATAAGCCACTCATAGTTTTACAATACTGCTGCTTGGGTGAGGATACTGTAATAATTTATCATATAAATATCCATGAAATACCGTCCTATATTTCTCGCTTAAAAAAGAGCATGTTTTTTATTCACGATACCTCTATACATCAGAGTTACGGTAAAGAAAATTTAATGTAATACATGGTTTGTTTTCTTAGATAATTATGATAAACAGAGTATTACATGGTAACTTGGAGATGTGTTGAAATCTCCCTTAAATGAACGTAGCAATTTATTGGTAGTTATAGTAGTTGTAGATATTTCCAACAATTGAAGATAAAATCTGTATCTCTGCGATGAATATCCTCTATTTCAATAACAAAGAGAGCAATGAAGAGGCACAATATTTACTCTTATGAATAGTCGATCTCAACGCATAAATCCATATCTAACTATATTCTAACTATATTCTATAGATAATAAGTCAAATTAAGATGTTTGCCCCAGTCTTCCACTGTCATATATCTACAGGAAGTCCAGAAATCAAAAGCGCAGAAAAAGAGTTGTCTATTGGGGAGGCGTGTTCCTAGCTAAACAGCACAAAGTGTTGATTGTACAAATTGTTTAATAGTATCTAATTTATTGAGTTATATTTATAAGGGAGAAAGAAAGGGAGAGACAAGCAAAAAAAAATCAACTGTTTTATTTTAATTACAACAATGAATCTTTTAACCATGGAGTGTATTTATTCATCCTCGAAACACTTTGCAATAAATTGTGAATTCACAATAACTAAACCATTTCATGGATATAATAATGAATGCACTCTAGTTTGATGGTGAAGATTTAACATTGTATGCAGGCATTTGTTTAGAAACAAGTATTTGATTATTAATTCAGATTTTAATTTGAATCAGCAACAACTTAATGTCTTTTCACTACTGGGACTATTTTTTTGTGTGAATTCCATACATTTTGATTATTTAATCTGACTTGGGAATCTTTCCCATGTCCACCTAGGGAATCTATCATACTCATTGAGGTCATACTCTTCAAACTGGAGATGATCCAAATAACTGATTTTTACTACAAAATAACATTATTCTTTAATGTACATTTGTAGATAACATTTTAAGTCTGTACATTATTGTATATTATGATGACACAGCTAACATTTCCAATTTTAATTCACAATCACTTATTGCTCCTTGTAATTATATATATTACAATTCTTTTTGTACTAAATAAACATGCAGGCGTTTTACAAGAACTGTCTCTTCTTGGGCTGGGTTCATAATATTCTGTTGTAAAGGTAACTTGTTCAGTGTTTCAGGGAAAGTGGCCCAGCATCTGGTGCACCAAGTGACTGTCTTTCATTTCCTTGCAACTGACTTTGAGATTTAAGTCTTAAGTTAGTAAATTTTATTTTCCAGTTGTTGTCAGCATGAGGATCTCGTATTAAACCAAAAGTTTGTTCAAATATACCCAAACATGTGTCAAACCTATGAACAGTACCACCAGCTAGAATCCTTACCAAACCATAACTGTTTATATCACCCTTAATACTTGGAGTATTCACATTAAAAAACAATTTTTCATTGGAAACAACTTGTGCAAGTTTTGTGCTGACAGCTTCAGATCCTTGACACTCTTCCTGAACATGTTGCTCTGATAACATAATTATGTTGCATTTTGCGTCACTCCAGAAATGGTGGTCACCCCATTGATCGTCAGCATTGTGACCATGTCCAGGTAGTGAATTTAATATGCTGTAAAACCATGGTATAAAGTGCTGTGCAAGAGCCTGGCCATCAACTGCAGTGATAGCACCTTTGTTGCCTGGGTTTGAAGCTACTGGTTTAGTCTTTGGGGGATCAACCTCAGGTGAATCATTGAAGTCACCATAATCATCATCATCATCTTTGTCAAACTAGAAAGAATACAGTACGTCACTGTCCTTTTTTATAATAATATTGACACTAACACAATCATTACACAATCAATTTAATACTTGTACGAAATCTACATTGATGTCAATATGCAAATGTGTTAAAATTTTGATTTGAAGGAAAAGTGTTRACTTGAATGTGGTATGGGATGGAAAAGGTTTATTTGATTTGGAAGGGAGTGATCTAGAGTGCTCTCAGAGGAGGAAGTACTGGTGGTCCAGAGAAGGGGGGGAGCTGGAGGAGGCTGGATTTTCCTACCATGGTGGTTGAATAATGTGAATGATGTAACATGCAAACTGGAAAAGAGGAAGTAATTTCTCATTTTGATTTTAACTTAGATTCTCACCTCATCAGTATTACCCCATAACTTTAATACCCGCCTACATAAGTGAGCTTTATCAGCTGCTACAGACTCAACATGACCTTTCTCTGCCAAGTACTGATACAAGTGATCTCTCTTCACCTTCTTTCGTCGCAATAACTGAGCTGCGTTCACTGAATAGAGTAGGATTGCATCTGTAGCTTCTGTAGGATAAAGTGACTGATATAATAATGCATGCTCTTCAAACAGATTGAAGTTTTCTTTCATCAAAATTCGTGTTTGAAATAAACTTTACCTTTGCGATTTTCAGTGGATACAGCGCGATTGGTAACCGTATCTGTTAAAGTTATCAAATCTCGTAGTTCAATTCGTTCAAGCAATTCTCGGGCGAACTCCTTCTCCTTTTCTGTCAGCATTTTCCCATAAAGAGTGGAGTAAATGATAATTTTCTGAGCATTATTATTGTTCTACAATAGATGTACATGGTGGGACAAAGGACTGGTAACGAGTGCGCCTATTTGTGCGCCTAAGTTCTGATGTACAGCGTTCATATCACTCTACTAAATATTTTGAGAAATGCCTCAGGGAGAAATGTGAAGGTTTTATCCGTATGCTCAATGGATAAAAAAACTCCCCTTACTACTCCTTGTAAGGTAAGGTAGACGTTAATTACAGGGTGTAAGATTAGGCAATTGGTAGAGCGCAAATACTTCAAGAATGGAGCATAAAAATTGTACTAAATAGTAAATTAATTTGATGCATGATTTTACATTTTATGAATTTCTCAAGGGTAACAAAAGAAAGATRTCWTGTGGTCTGTCAAGGTCTAGAAGGATATCAGAACCATTTGTTTCCCCGCTTTTGASAAAACAGGAAACCAAAGAAAGCGAGGTGATTAAAAATTATATTATCATTTATTACCATGGAGACAATTGTCATGGCAACATTATACTTATATAATATTGCCATGTRCATAATTGTCATGGTAACATTTCATGCCATGTTACCATGGAACCAGTGATGCCAYTTTCTAAMATGATTAGTATATATATCATWTTCAGTTGGACAATGGTCAGTTGGACGATCAAATATGCAAAAAGATCAAGTTTGAGAGCTCAGSAGRGGGAAAGAAGGAATCCCATCATTCTATAGTAAAAGAAAAAAGTGTAGAAGAAGACTGCAGAAATGTAGAATGCAGAATTGAGTGCTTGTCTTCAAAGTCTTCACCAACAGAAATGGGAACRAAAAATCTTCACTTTTTGCTTGTAGAAAAACAAGAGACTTTGAGAAAATTAAACATGGTTAAAATGTACAGAAGAAAGGTATATTATTCATTTTACAGCCTGTAGACAGACATTCCTCACCCCTCCCTCTGTAAGGAAAACTCTTTCCAAGGGAAGCCCTGGTATGTACAGTAGTATAACAAGTGGGAATACTCCCCTCCCCTCCCCTCCCCTCCCCTCCCCCTAAAAAAAATTGAACAATTTGAGGTTTTGCCTATTTAATTAGTATGTATATGCAAAACAAAAGATTAAGCCTCTGAATCTCCAATTATTATAAATATGCCCTTCCCCTAACTCACACTAGGCCAATGATTGTATATAATCATCTTCTGTTGTTATTGTTGTTGTAAAAGATGAAAAATGACCCTYTCTCCATTTATACCTATCAGAATAACCTGAATGAATTACAAGATCTTATCGACAAGTGGCGTAAAGTCAGCCAAGATGCAGCAAATAGATTATTGGACTTAATTAACAAAGATAACAAGGTCACTATGGGCCAGCTATTGGATCAGTTTCAGATTAGCCATGAACTTATAAGGTACTCAGAGGATGAAGATGGTTTTTTATCAAGCTGACAATCAAAAAGACATTTACCAATTACAACAAATGCAGTTAATAACTCTGAGCAACAGAAAGGCATAAACTGGACATGATAGATTGACGTTTTCATACCTGGAGGGGTAGCCATGAACTTATAAGGTACTCAGAGGATGAAGATGGGTTTTTATCAAGCTGACAATTAAAAAGACATTTACTAATTACAACAAATGCAATTAATAACTCTGAACAACAGAAAGGCATAAACTGAACATGATAGATTGTAGTTTTCATACCTGGAGGGGTGGGGGTGGGGGTTTGGGATGGGGGGAAGGTTAGGTAGAAGTATTACAGTATATAAACGTGGCATTCAACAGTTGTTTTTACAGCTTGTTATTGATACCAGCCTTGGTAGCATGCAGCACATTCTTTGAAATAATTACCTAGTATTCATCTAGTAATACAGTTCATGTTTAAAAGTGCTGCAGTCAAATTTGAAAAAAATACACACTCTTGTTACAAACAGCATATCATCAATATGTCATTTAAAATCAGCTTTATTCTCTCATATTCATCATGAGCTCTATTAGTATAAGTCTAATTACAATCAAAAATATTCTTTATCAAAAAATATTTGAAATATGTGTTCTTAAAATCTATAAAATCCCAAAAGGGAGATTTTCAAAATGTAGATATTTTGATCCAAAACATGCATAATTTAATAGTATAATAACAGCCAGTAATAGTTGTCCCAAGAAGAAGAAATTATTTCTTAAACAGGCGCACTAAGAGTTGGATCAGTACTTCAGATCTAGTACGTAAACAGCCATTTTGCTCCCTAATGAGGAACAATTAAAAGGAGGGAGGATTGACTGTGAACTTGATGTACTAACCTATCTCTCTCATTTGAGCRTATTTCTTTCATAGAATATGTTTTTTGAGTGGCTATAAATAGAATAAGTCTGTATCTGAATTTTGATAAAACCTGGAATGCATTGCAGAAGGTCTGCCTTTTTCAATTTCCAACCTGAGTAGTCTTTGTAAATTTAACAAAAAGTTTGTATAAAATATATATGTAGAGTTTTGTTATAGAATCCAATATACCTTGGAATTTCTCCTTCCAAATTCAATTCTTGATCAATCAAAAATATAATTTCATAATTCTATGATATTCTATGATGTTTGAATGTTTTATGTATATTATCAAAATTATATTATTTTGGTTAATTCCTTTAAATCAAGTACTATATAATAGAAATATATATTCAAAATATGGCATATATTAAAATTCTTTCTTTTGTTGACCTGCTATGGACAATAATCATTATTAGAATTACAGCAGAATGTATTTATAATTTACTTTGAGATTCTATAACTAGTATAATTATATTAGTTTAATTTATGTGATATAATCTTCATAGTTTATCAAGATTTATCCCCTATTCAACCATGAAATAATTAACTATTGGGCGCGTGGTTCCTATTCATGGTATTGCATCATATGTAGAGCCTTGAAAGACGGCATCTTGGGTCCTTGATTTCCTAATTCAGTAATTAATATTCTAAGCTTCTTCATCCAAATCCAGGTCATCATCAGTAAGTGGCCTTTCATCCTCATCAATATGCCTTAAGTCTGCCTTTATTATGGTGTATTTAGTGTTGAAGCAAAGGTGCCGSGTTGAGTGCARCTGAAGAACTCCCAGTACAATAAAGAAGACWGTTACACAGAATACTATTGACATGACTGCAATAGAGAGGACRCCATTTTTCTTAGGGTCTTCAAGAATATATCTAATGGTCTTAATGTTTTTGTCTTGTATGGATCTACTCTTAGGTTTTCCTGACTGTCCYTGACAATCRATACAAGAAYCACAACGTTTGTTTTTCATGTCAGGTTTTGTTTTAGATGAACATTGAATGACACAAGTTGATTGTTCAAGGAAGAAAGTYGACATGCATGACTTGCATTGGTTTTCCATTGGTCCTGAGCATGTTTTACACAATGGGTGGCATTTAAAACATTGTCCTAAATTAGCTTTCAAAAAGGTACCTTCTGGGCACCTTTGACGGCAAGTGTTTCTGTAATACACATGACCCTTGTTGCAGCTYAGGCAGTTTGTACTTGCTGGGCCATAGCATGAATTACACAAACTGTGACAGGATTGACACTTCAATGATTTACTTTTAAACTTATGTGGCCCACAGTTTGATTGACATTTTCCTGTTTGCCCTGTCTTCTTGTGTAATGTTAAACCATTCACGCATGCTGTGCACATACTTGGCCCAAATCCTGAGCAWGAAGTGCATGTTGGATGACATTTTTGGCATCGATGTGTTTTCAAGTTTTTAGCAAAACCTTTAGGGCATTGYAGTAAGCAAGTAAATCCATGAAGCACTGTATTAGGATCATGGCAGGTAATACAATCATTACGTGTTGGACCAAGRCATTTGCCACAGGATGGATGACACTGTAAACATTGTTGTTTCTTTCTGTCAAGAGCCCAACCAGTTGATGGACATTTGCTAACACAGTAGTTTGAGTGGAGTACATATGGTGAAATACACTTAATGCAGTTTTGCAAGCCATTGCCTGGTAAACAAAAAACATTGTCTTAAAACTTTAAAAAGTATGCTCTAAAGATAAGCTGGATGAACAAGAGGTATGTATGATTGAAASTATGAATGAATAAAGACAACATTGAAACAATAAATGGAGAAAAGGGTAGGTGGATGGCCAGAGAATCAAACATCAAACAAACTTAAGGAGGAAAGAGATGAGAAATGTACTAGTGTAAAATCTGGAAACAATTCRCACCATTTTTACATTCTTGGCAGAAGTAGTCACATGGATCACATCGCTCTTCCTGYGCRTTATAAAAGTATCCAGATGGGCAGCTTTGTAGACAAGTTTTTCCAACCTTCAGCAGACTCTTRGTGCATTTAGTACAGTCATTAGATGATGGACCTGAACATTCAGCACACCATTGATTACATCTCTTGCACTTRTTACTATGCCTCTCATGATATGATCCTGAAGGGCAAATATTTGTACATTTGTTGTCATTGAGAAACCTTTGACTGTGGCACTTGATACAGTACTGTGGTTTCCCTAAGCATTCAAGACATGATGGATCACATTTGTTGCACAAATTGGTGTCTTTATCGGCATACATCCCTACTGGACAGTAGAGTTTGCATACATCACCATTCTTAACCAGACCAGTTTCGCATGCAGTACATTTTCCAGGTTCCTTGCAAGACTTGCAACCAACACTACAAGGTTTGCAGATTGCTGTCTTTACTTCTCCATAATGTCCATCTGGACATTGATATGAACATTGGTTTGTTTTTGTRTTTAAGAACTTTACTCCAGCACAGCTTATGCAGTCTTTATTGCTGGTACCACTGCATGAAGAACAAGATGGATGACATTTASTACATCCAGTCTTGGTGGATGTTTTACCTTTAGGACATTTTGATACACAGGTGTGGCCTTTCAATGAATGACCATCTGAAATATATGTAAACAATGATTTCTGTGTTAGAAAGACAACTTTTATTGTACTATGTTTCTAAGGTTTTTTTYTCTTCTTTACAGTGAGTTCATTCAATGTCTGTACCTCCTATTAAGTTGAAATAGAATCAGAATAATTCGTCTTTTGCTGATTTGACCGCCATGTGCCATTATCACACTTGAATTTATTATCACTTCTGTTATCACTAAACTTACATGACATGTAATATCATTATTTTTACCTTTGCATGAAGGACACTGGTCTGCAGAGCCGCCATTACAAGAGCGACATAAAGGRTGACAAGGAAGACATTGTTTCAATGAATGATCTTTATATGTTCCAGCAGGACACTTAGAAATGCATAGAGATCCGTGTAAAACATAAGGAGATTCACATAAAAGACACTTGTTTGTATCAAAACATGAAGTACAATGTTTTGGACATTCCTTGCAGCTAAGAGAAAGAAAACAAAGCATTAATRAGATAAAAAGGATCCTACAGCAATAAACTCCATTCATCTACAGCTAACTGGTATAGTATTGTAAGATAGTGTACATGAGAGGGTGGTGCTCAATGTTTAGAGGATGCTAACTGCTAGTTTTTGAGGTAGTGTCTTTGAATGAAAGAGTTCTCCTTCTTACCTTATTTTTGATGGAAATGTAGTAACAGGACACCTCACAACACACTTGGATTTGTAAATATAATAACCCTTTATGCAGGACAGACACTGGTTTGTTGCTGGTCCAGAGCAGGTCAGGCAGTCACTGTAACACTTGGTACATTGCTTGGAGCTTTGGTTGGGATAKGTTTGGCTTGGACAATTTTTTGGGCTGACACATTTTGCATTGTCAAGGAACTTGCCATTCACACAAGATATGCATTGGGATGGGTCTTTTCTATTACATGAAGCACAGTCTTTGCCACATCGTAGACAGATYCCTTTGGATGTAACWGGGTACCGACCTGGTGTGTAAACACAAATTGCTTCTTTAATTTATGAAATTTGTTTGACAGGACAATGAATATTGTTGAGGCAAATAAGCCTGSGTACCTTTAGGACAAGTCTTTTTACATAAACCACGAGGCTCAGCCACTCTGTACAGACCRGGGGTACAAATTAAGCAGTCATCAGCTTGTTGCCCTGAGCAWTCAATRCAGTCTGGATGGCATTTTTTGCATTCATGTGTAATTTGATTATTGTAAGTGCCTGATGGACAATTCTTTATACATTGTCCTTTGTGAAAGTGTAATGAATTAATACACTTTGTACAGCCCTGAGGACCCGCTTTACTGCATTCTAAACATGTCAAATGGCAAGCAACACATGMTTTGTCCTTTTTGAAGAACCCAGCAGAGCAGAAGGGCTTGCAGGAGGAGCCAACAAGTTTGTGGGATGTTTCRCAGGATGTACACTGTGTTGCTTTCCCAGTGCATGTCTTACAGGGTGAATTACACTTGATGCACTTGTTTTGCAGCTTAAACCATGTTGGAGGACAAAGACTGATACATTTGTTTTTCATCAGAAGCAATGGTGATAAACATGACTTGCAATCTGTACTTGATGGTCCATTGCATGTGTTACATGTTGGACTGCATGGTATGCATTCCTTGCCATGAGCATACTCGTTCTTGTTGCATGCAGAAACACACTCCTAGAACATTCAAAACGTTTATAGAATCTATAAGAGGTCTTAGTATTTTTATTCMTTTTCACCTTCTACATTTGCTGGGATTCCTGTCTCTTGGAAAGCATAGGAAGCCCAACAAAWGCAAGGCCTGAGRAGGAGATTATTAATGTTTGTCTACGCACCCCAGTAACTTTGCGGCGATAATGACTACATCCATTGCACTTGTCTGGACCTGGTCCACTACAGCCCCTATCACATTCAACGTCGCAAGCAGACACAGGCTTTTTATAGCGCGTTGCTGGAGTGTCAGGGTCTTGTGATGTCCCGTAAAATCGTAATGACCAATTTTTAATGATCCCATTATTGCTACTGGGTTGTCTAGCTACGGGGAAAAAAATAAAAGCACAAATGAAAGGAGGGAAAGGTGGGTAGTGAAATGAACGGATGGAAGCAGGAGTGGATGAATAAATACGAGAAGCGTACTTTCCAGATCAAATACAACTTGATATATCTAATTGGCTGCTGTATTCATTGTCCGGTTTAGTAGTAACTAATATTCTCGTGTACCTGCATTACGAGCTTCCAAAGTCCATTTTCCTTCAGGACTTTCTCCCCAACAATGTGTGGTCATAAATGTCCAGTTATTAAAACCAACCCTCGAGTCTTTGTCACGAATTCTTTGTGCCAGTAAAGTAGACCTTGTTCCTTTAGGTGATGTTAGGTAAAGAACWAGATCTCCTCGTTTGCTGAAGGAGAGAGAGATAACGGCCTCGACGTGTTCTAGAWATTTTACTTCATTGACAGTTCCTTTGCATCCAGTGACTTCTTTTTCAACRCGAAGGGTTTTGTTACTGTAGATTCTCCTTCAAGATAGAAGTGCTAAAAACGTCAAAACTAAARTACAGATATATCGGTCCAATAAATGGTTAATTACGTTAATTACAGTCAACTCTCGCTAATACGGACACCCTCGGGACCGAAATTTAGTGTCCGCAGTAGCGAGAGTCCGTAGTAACGAGAGTTACTTTCAGTCATCTCTTYTTATTTTTCGCCGGGGATTCAGTATTTTACTGTCCGCAATATCGAGATGTCCGTTGTAGCGGGGGTGTGCGTAAGGCGAGAGTTGACTGTAAGTAACGTCTGATGGACTTCGACGCGTTTTCGCAGCTTAACAGTTACGTACCTCTTCTTAGCGTCAGGAATTTCTTGACAAACATGCTGTGCTGGGACCGTTTTCCATATTCTTGCTAACTGGACGAGTTTCTCTGCATCAAGAAGGCCAAAACCAAAGCTATGACTGACAGGACGACCAACACCGTTACGTACAATATCTTTCGCGTCGAGTTTATCCATTTGAGACGTGCGTACTACAATGTGTTGCATGTCTCGCCAAGTGAGGTTACGACTGAAAAAGTAAATTACGTTATGGTTTGCGTTTCGTTACGACATTCATACGTAATGTATTCGTTTCGTTAACGGCAAACTAATTGAACACTACAGTGAAATAACACTTGCGTCACGTTTTTACGTCGTACGTACGTCATGTCACATTACGTTCACGACATATCTCGTTGACGTACTGTTACATACTTGACTTCCAAGGCCAGTGCGAGTATTCCTGCAGCGATGGGTGCGGACGCGGACGTTCCTGTGTGCGACTTCGTACAGCCGTTATGTAGATCCGTAGTTACCTGTGGATATTTTTATACTTTTAAAGAATAGTTCAACGTAAAACATACGTAGTTCAAGTCTGTACGTACTATCTTTCTCATTCCGTACGAACCACTACTAAAGGTTGTAGCCARTGTKGATGAGCATGCCTCGGAGTACCAGGGAGATCTGCCATGTTCATTAGCCGAGCTGATTGACAGGGTGTAGATGCTGTTTGTATAYCCATCACAATTACAGTTGTCACCATAGTTACCGCCGTTACCAGATGCCCACACGTAGATAGATCCMAGTTTYCTACGGCCCTGCATGATATCATGAAACGTCTTTTGATATAACTAATTTAGTGGGATAAGGTCACTTCACGAACACCTTTCATAATAGGACACTTCATATCATTATTTTATCTCTCTAATCTGACTGACACCTCTTTATCCCCCCCCCGTCCCTATATTATTGACACTTCGCAGTAAACGCGTATCTAAAWCTCTCTGTGTGACTATSGTACCTCGCTAATGCCTTCTTCAAATGTACGTCTTGCTAATGGCCCKGGTCCATCCACAGTCATGCCGTCATCGTCAGGACCCCAGCTTGAACTGTATATTTCAATATGCTGATTCTCCAGATTCAAAGAACTTGCCTCGACTACGTCCGTCACCTCACCATCAAGCATACGCACACCTTACGGAAATATTAAGAATGGTTAAAAACAATGACGGATTTCATAGTTTCAAAGTGTTTTATATTTTATTGAGGCATAACTCGTGGATATACATTGCACGTGTTTTGCACCTTACGGAAATAATAAGAATGGTTAAAACAATGACGGATTTCTTAGCTTCAAATTGCGTTATATTTTATTGAGGCGTAACTCGTGGATATGCATTGCGCGCGCTTTGTTTTACGAAGAACGATAGGATATCTCAGCTACGATTACCTCCGATCTTGGCCTCTGGGGCAACTCCAACAATACATTTACTGTTATTAAAGGATGCAGCGACTTCTCCAGCACATCTAGTGCCATGCCTATTCTCGTCCGTCGATGTCCATCGTGGGGTTGGGTCGGGATCGTTATCGTTAAAATCGTAACTTGCTTTGGAATCCTTAAAGAGTGAAATGGTTACAAGATGCGAACAAAAGTCTCTTATTGCTAAGTTTTTGAATGGAAGGGAATGGAGAAATGATACTCACATAGTTAGTGGCTAGGTCTTGATGTTTCATTTCTATTCCTGAAGAGAGAGTGATGGATCATTAGATGAATAAATAGAAGGAATGAAAAAATGAATGAGACGAAAATATGAAACTATATAACATTACCATCGTCTAGAATCGAAACAACAACATCCCTTCCATAAACTCCCTGCTTCCACACTGGGATTACATTATGATCATAGCCAATAAATGGAGACCTTGTGTTATGCTATAAACAAAACCAAATAACGTATTGATTGAATCATTCAGCTATGGAATGGAATGTCAAGAACTTTTTCAGCATCTATCAGATTCTTCTTTTGAAAATAAGGAGAGCAGGATATTTCTGGCCACCAAATAGTTTAAATGTTTAAAGTTTCAATATTATGAATGAAACATCACCTTACAGTCCACCACTACTATGCTCACTAGATGTTGACCTTATTGACATTGGCCACMCAKMAACATGGTAAGCTAAATTACATCTGCTTTTTTTTGTATGTTTACTCTCTTTCAATGTTATATAACACTGATAATCTTCTGTACCTCCCTGCCATTTCTATATTTATACTTTCTTTTCAAGTTACAAAACACTTGTTGCAAACCAGAACTTGAAAAATGAGCTCCTTTTGTTCATACACCTCACTGTTGTTTCCTTTTTATTTATTCTTATTTTTCTTTTTTCTCACACTTTATTTTTCTCATTTTAACCGTTCCATTTTTCTATTCACTATTTATCCTAGTTTTCTCTGTTATCTTGTAACATGAGATGGTATGATAAGAATGCACATGTGATGATTTCTTTCAAGAGCTTTTATCATTAGTTTTTTTTTTATGTCTTGGACTATTTTCTGTTTATTTTGGAATTATTACTTTAAGAAATTTCCATTTTATTCATCATCTTCAATATGCATAGCACTCCCTCTAATGGAACTTTTATTCAGTCAAGTTTTGTTCTGTTATTTTTTTTTATTATTTTTTTCTCATTTCTCAAATAAGGTCAGAACATCGTTATTAAAGATTCATATTATCAAAACCACCGGATCAATGCAGCTTCCATCATGCTCTGAGCGAACTACTTGTAAGGTATCATATTGCTGGTCAAAGATGACCCTTAAAATAATTGATACGAATACGATGATTAAAAAACTACTAACGTACAGGAAGCGTTCAAACAATTTGTCTATCACAGCTTTTTACTGCTATTGTTGATTTATTAAATCAACCGACCATGAAATTAAATCAAACATGTGCTAGCAACCGTCAAACGTTATAAACAGTGATCATCTCTAAAATCATTATTCATAAACTGATAAATTACTTACCAGATACCACTGGTCAGCAAAAAGTGGATCATTTAACTTCAACTTGCTCCCTCTTTTTACTCTTCTTTTAATAACTTGTTGCTCTGCCCATTTCACCTAAAAGAATGGACATTTGTAAGTTATCCTTCGATCGGTCATGAGGATCATGAGATTATTGCGAGAAATGTGAGCAATGTCCGTGAAGTGGATTACCGTCGTCTCTTCGAACAGAAGCTTTGTTTCGTCTTCTAAACTTCTTCGTGATCGTGTTGGATGGGTTTTGTGTCGAAAATGGAATATTCCTCGTAAGCTACCAACCTGGAAATTGATGTTTCCACAAATTAAATAATAAACTATAAACTTTGTGATATCTTTCATGAAAAATCTATCTTACCTTGCCCAAATTTATATAACCATACTTTTCAGCAATTCTATTAGCCTCTTCTTCTCCACCATCGACCTCAATGGCCCATGTATTTGAATACAAGTTCTTCTGATTTGATGTTGTGAAATTCACAAGAAGACATGTAATTAACAAGACAGCCACAGCTACTTGCTGCATATTGAGTAAATCACTTCACCAATAATTATGTAAATTCCATATTACTCCAACTCTAAACTCATATTATCCTAGTAAAGAAAATGTATTTATATTCTTGATAGACTTCGTCGGTGTTGCTGATCCCTTGTCCAGTGGAAACGGCACACGATCCAAAACGATTAGACGTAGGTACGAGTGACGTCACTAAATACTTCCTCAACAACTTAAACAAGGTTTGAAAAGCTCCACCAAGCATTTATAGAGATCCAAAATTAATCTGTTAAATCGAAACCCGCCATTGACTCATAACTGGTAAGGTTTAAGCAATTTTTCAGTGATTTATGCAAGATTTACAGCTGAGTTGGATCAGCTGTTTTTAGTTCGTAGGCAATTTTACAGTTCATTCGCCGACAGGAAATAATAGTTGGTCAGTCCCGTCATATTATGATTTACAATTACTTTCGATGAAGAACAATGTTTCGGTGATTTACCTTGTGATCAAATTAGTTTAAAAATAGATAGAAATATTTCTCAAAGGAAAAATATTCAACGACTGCATGATGTGCGCTGAAACTGAAGCCTTATCACGTTTCCGTGAGCCTTTTAGATCATATTTCACAGATTTCATCCGTCTGTCGATACTTCTAAAACGACTCTAAGTGACCTAATAATGTTATCAATTTTGAACTAGACAACCTTGTAGTATTTTCGTTATAGTATTTGTTTATGGCGGTTAATATTTGTATCTCATTTTGATCTATAATTATTTCGCTATCAATATTTTTTACATATCAAAATTTACTGCAAAAACTTCCTTGTTTTTTTGAGGTGAATCTTTGCTCATTTTGTAAATATGGGAATCATTATTTTTAGATGACAAATATTATCATTTTTTTCTTCATTTACCACTGACATAAATGTGTTTTCAGTGTCCATAACTCGCCATTGCTCGGATCATCGTTATCAGCATCAGTCACGATTGAGCAATCAACAAAAAATAATCAACAAGTATTGGTTTCAATGGCAGAAACATATTGGAAAGACAATATTTGTGCTCTTAAAACTCCCACAGTAAAAAGTGACAAGAAATTGACGGCTAGTCCAACATATACTGTTCCATGTTTTTCACAAGCTTTAGTTCCCCAGGAAACATAACGCCTGCTTGCGTCGGTGACCTACCGTCCCCCATACTAGTATTCCCTAGCCTCCATGCACGATATATCTTTTGACAACTTATCATCTTGAAATTATGCTCCGAGACATGTACAAATTGTACAAATTAATATAAGGAACTGTATATGTACTTAATATTTTGTGTATACAATTTTACGAAACGGGAGTCGTCACGGAAAATTTAAATATTCAGTTTTGAACTGCTACGCGTACGTTTTATATAAATGCCCATGTGCGCATCAGATTGTGGCCCTTATAGGTCAGGGCAGGGAGGACACAAAATACATTATTAAAAAAATTGATTATCTTCAAAATGTGGTTGGTATTTCTAATTGAGTGACAATAGTTCGTTGCCCTCACCATTATCAGGTCAACAATCAAAGATAAAGAGATTCTAGTTAAAAACCATTTTAATTGATACCACTTGCAAGGCTGTTTTCTTTGCAGTATTCTGGGTTATTCTGCGCGTATTGTATTACTGAAAAACGACATGATCAGTTAGTGAGGTCAGAAGCGAACAAGTCTTCTTTTACCGACAATTAACGCTTCCAATACTTGCGAAAGTGCTTTTTGTAGTTGCTGTTGTTGGAGTGTCGCAGCATGATAAAAGATTTTTTTGAGATAAGTATTAGCATATTAGTGAAATACCTCATACTTGTTGACTTCAACGAGTATTTAAGCATTTATTAGACTTTTTAGCAAATATTACTGAATATTAGTGAAATTAACATTCAAAAAGAAAAAAAAACGGAGAGTGTACGGAGAATCCAATGTTGCTGTACAAATATTTCGCGTTGTCRTGATAGGGTGTGGACGAGCACAAATATGCATTTAGTCTTTTTGCTCCAGATAACCTATACAGGACAGGCATGGGAACCTAAAAATATAAAGACAAATTAAGACAGCCTGGACTTTATCAGACAAAACTATGTACATGGTATGGWCAAGGCAGCATCAAAMAGCGGCRRRCATAGCAGTTTGAGTGAAAACTAGGCTGATTACCACCGGATGTGACAGAAATCTTGTATATTTGGSGCGAGGGRACAGTAATCATAAATCAGTCGGCGACATGGCAACTTTACCACGCACTTCTGAGCATTTTATAGAAAAGAAAAATAGAATTGAAACTCCTTTAGAGGATYAGAATTCCGATTCTTTTATTTTCATGCATTTTTCGATTTGTTTCTGATTYTATAATGTTGTACGTGGGYACGTGCGACTTTCCCGTGACCTGACAGTGACTTTAAYATCACAGCATGAAATTTCATGGTCACATCACATGATACTGCTGTAGTTCTAAGTAAGATATAAAGAAGCAGCTATGGAATACCGATAACAAAGTATCGTTATAGTACACCTTGAATTAACAGTGACCACACCCGTGGGTTGGGTTAGATGGTAACCAGACCAAAACCACCGCCCCTCCTGATATTGTTCAAAATGAGAGTGCAATAACTAAGGTCTTTGTAACTCGCAATACTAAGAGACGTGGGACYTAGTACTGAATCAGTATTTAACGATTGCGTACTGTTCTGAGCATCACTTCTCATTCATAAGGTGTTTTGAATTGGGTACAACCGTTGCACACTATTTTTGTAAGACTTTCTGTGGTCGTACAATACCACGTACGGAATACATATACCGATCCGGTACTACGTTGTGTATTAGATAACCTGTGGCACTATGTCGCGATCACGTACCTCGAGGCTTATACACCCTTTTAATAAGTCCCGAGGTATTGAATTCTCCGCACATGACGTCAAATTCATTCTTTTGAATTTTTTGCAATACAAAAGGAATTGAAAAGAATAAATTTGACGTCAAGTGCGGAGCACACAATACCTTGGGACTTATTAAAAGGGTGTATACGTACTCACTACAAATTTATAACACGCACAAAGCACGTGATCATGACGCAGTACCACAGGTAATCCACAAGTACAAAGCGTGTGTGTGTTCTTAATTATGAACCAAGTAAATAAAGCGCAGATTTGAGATTTTTTCGTTGTCTCTTAAAGTTTTTTGTTGTTCTTCAATATATCTATGAATTTATAAAAAAAGGACTGAAAATAACTGCATAAAATTAAGCTGTAAAGGGCCAGGGTTGCCTGTGTTACTATAAGAAAATTTCTTCTAATGCCTGAAATTTAAGTATATTTAATATAAACCTTAAAAAGGGTATAGCAAGTATCTCTTTCAATGTTGTTCCAGTAAAAGATGGTAAACATAATATTGAAACTTGATTTTATTAATATCGAACCAACCACAATTTATACAAATTGGAAGTTATATGAACTTCTGTACAAATACAATTCTAAATAAAAATTAGGCATTCTCTTGAATAAAACGAAATTACAATCAACTGCCAATAGTGTTTGGGTCAATAACTATAGAAATTTGTACAAAGAATAATGTCCTCATWGTGCTGTAGGAAGRTTGATCAACCTACAGAYGTTGGCAAATGGCTTGAGTGAACTGAGAACAGCTTGCCTTTCCACCAAGATCACCAGTTATCATCTAAAAATAAACAACATTTGTGTCATTAAAATATAAAGAGAACATTTTTCTTTCAATAGGACTGGGACAGTGTTTCCCCAAGTGTCATKTTTCTTGTATGACAAGTACTGTGYTGTWTTCATATTCAACCAATTCTCTTTYAACSCTTTCYATCCTTAGAAAACTCTTGCAGGAGATTTTAAATGGAGATGAGGATAAACGTGCATAAATGTTTTCTACATGCACTAAAATCCCTCAATTACKCCTCTGAAGCCCAAATAGGTGACCCCCTCTGAATATCCTCCTAGATAACAATTAACACACCATTCCTACTTACTGTGCCATCTTTAATAGTTTCAAGAACAGCATTTTCTATCTTTTCTGCATAAGAATTGAGTTTCATGTGCTTGAGCATCATGACTGCACTAAGAAGAAGGGCTGTAGGGTTGGCCTTGTCCTGGCCTGCGATATCAGGGGCAGTGCCATGCACCTGTAGAGGGTAACAACACAAAAAAACTTGATTTCAAATTCTTGCATCGAGTTTTCATTGACACTTGTGTTATTTATCACAGCTAGTCCTTGCTGTATTTCAAGAAACACATTTTATCGTGATAAAAAATGTTAAAATTTAATAGTTACTTACAGATTCAAAGATAGCAACATTATCATCTCCTATGTTGCCACTGGGTGTGACTCCCAAGCCGCCAACTAGACCAGCACACAAATCACTGAAAACAAACATAAATTTATATCATAGTTCATTATCACATGCTAAATATCACTGGTTATTACTAATTATTACTTATTACTGTCATGGAAAGGACACCATCCCTTTATTTTCTATTCTATTCACTGGAATAGTAACAATGCAACTGCTCATTTTATGAGATTCAAGACAAAAGACCAGTGACATATAAATGTTGGATAAATGAACAATAGATACTAATAAGAAATCCTTTGTTATAGTTCATCAAGATGACCAATGTAATGCATATTGCAAATGAAGGATTACCTTAGAATATCGCCATATAGATTAGGCATTACAAGAAGAATTACCTTAGAATATCGCCATATAGATTAGGCATTACAAGTACATCAAACTGACTTGGGTCTTTTACCATCTGATATAAAAGAAAAAGGTTAAAATATACTTTTTAGTTTTCAATAAGCCTTTATATTTTCACTTACATTTAAACATGTTGTATCCAGATACATCTCATTGTAACGAATATCTTTATTTTGCTCAGCAACCTCACGGCAACATTGTAGAAACAGGCCATCTGAACGCCGCCTATGATTGATCATTATTATTAATATAAATACTAATGACTTGTGCATTGAATATCTCATGATTCTTATCATACATTGATTCATGTCAACAGTAATAGCTGCAGCAATTTTCCTTACATGATATTAGCTTTATGTACTGCTGTTACTGAGTTCCTATTATTGGCCTTGGCAAAGCTGAAAGCAAATTCTGCTACTCTCATTGATGCCTTCCTTGTAATAAGCTTTATACTTTGAACTACTCCGTCAACTACCTAGAAAACACATCAAAATGAACAGATCAATAAGAGTGTTGATTTGAAAGTAATCAACACCAGTTTAAGGTTCTCCTATCTTAGTTAAAGCCACCATTCACAGCTGAGTTGCATGGTGACACAGAAGATTTAAACAATGTTATTGCCTTTTTTCCACACAAATTCTGCACATTTTCTCTAGCAGTATTTAGACAAGATTACATGGTTTTGAGTCTGACAAAGCTGAAACAAACATTAGCTATGTTGTTCTTTTATGTATTCTCTCTTTGATAATAGACTTCTGATTTTCAATCACTACTTTATTTTCAATGCATTGTGGGA